TAACTCCCTTTGATCTTTTTGAGACAGGGTCTCCCTGGCTAGTCTGGAACTTGCTATTTAGACCAGACTGTCCTCAATCTCAGAGATCCACCTGCCTCTGTCTCCTGAGTGCTGGGACTAACACTGGGTTCCCAGCTTGGAGCACTATGCTGAAGGATATAGAGCTTTAAGAGGTGGGGCCTTGTTGGTAGAAGTACATCCTTGGGGGTGGTCCTAAGTTTATATCTACCTTCTGGTTCTAGCCTGCTTTCTCTGCTTCTAGTGTGTAACATAAATTAGCTTCCAACCGATGCCCCACCAACTATGCCTTCTCAACTATGATGGACTAAAACCTGTCTGAAATTGCTTCTGTCAGGTTTTTTTTTTTTTTTAATTATTTTCATTTTATGTGTATGAGTGTTTTACCTGTGCACATGTAAGTGCACCGTGTGCGCAATGCTCACGGAGGCCAGAAGAAGGCATCAGATCCACCTGGAACTGGAGTTACAGATGATTGTGAGCAATCATGTGGGTGCTAGGAACCAAACCCAGATTCTTTGCCAGACAGCCAACTCTCCAGGCCCTCTGTCACTTTGTCATAGCAACAAGAAAAGTAATATAACTTGTCATGAAAAAACTCACAGAAGCTTTCTAGTTTAGAGGTTAAACTCAATGACAAGACAGATATATTCAATAATGCCCTTTACTTAGAACTCTGCTATCTTCAAATCCTCAAAAATAATTTGCCTTCATAAGCCAGGTATGGTGGTGCACACCTTTAATCCCAGCACTTGGAAGGCAGAAGCAGGCAGAGCTCTGTGAGTTCAAGGCTATTCTGGTCTACACAGTGAGTTCCAGACCAGCTGGGGCTACAGGGAGACTCTGTATCAAAAAGAACAAGAAAAAAATAAATTTCCCTTCTTGTAGCAATGTCAATTATTTGTGTACAAAAAGCTACTATTTCATTATATATTCAACCATTTAGATAAAACTAAATTTTGGCCACAAGGGGGGAAAAACTAATGATAATGCAAAATTTGTTTTTAAATGAATAGTGTCTTTAACTGAGACTATCTTGGAAAAAAAAACCCAAAAACCTCAAGGTTCTGGAAATGAATCACTCAGCAAGGATGCAGCTAGGACTAGGTAACTCTAAAGGTAGTGTGATTGATATGAAAAAAAGCATTAAAAGATAAAGCATTAAAAGCAAAACAAGGGTCTGATGAATTGACTCAGTGGGTAAAGGCACTTGCCACCATACCTGATGACCTGAGTTTGACACCCAGAACCCACCCAGTAGAAGGAGAGAATGGCTCCTCCAAGTGGTCCTTTGACCTTAACATGCCCATGCACATACACAGAGAAATAAATAAACATAAAAAACAGAACAAGTCAGACATGGTGGCTCATGCATGCAATTTCAGCACTCAGGACACATAGGTTGGAGGGAAGTTCAGGCCAGTCTGGGATAGCAAGGAGATTCTACCCCACTAATAAAAAGCAGGAAAAAAAGAAAGGAAAAGAAAGAAAGAAAAAAAGAAAGCAAAATAAAAGTGCACAAAGTCCTATATACTAACTAGGGCCACAATACACAATAAAAGCACGGAGATCTTCCTAGTATACAGCTTCTATTTGGAAATAATAAAAGGTCACTGAGCCTGGCCTGTGACATTACTTAGAAGCACACCTGCTGCTGTTTTACCTGACTCTAAGCCAAGTCTCTTCAAATCCTCTTGGTACGCCTTCAGGGCGGCTGCCTCCATTGCAGCAAACTCCTTTGATGCCTTCTCTTCTTCCTTCGCCTTATCCAAACTTTTCTGTTTAATCTATGTAAGACACATATGAAAGTGAAAGTGAGAGAAAGGCCAACATCCACACAGAAAGATAAACGAAGAGCCAGGCTAGATTACCTCACTGATCCTCTTTGCCACATTTTCTTTGTGATTCTTTCCTCTTTCATGAAATTCAACACTCTTGAAAATGAAAAAAGGAAAAATTATATAAACATCATTAAATCTACAGTTAACTAATAATGTAAATATGGGACTGGAACATAAAGCAGAAAATATAAAAACATGAATTTTAATGCAAACTGGCACTTGTGTCAAATGATACTAGTAGACTAACCAGATTATTGTGACTAGCTTTGCTTCTTAAAATCAGTCAGGGTGACAATAATGGGAGAAAAATACCAGGTGCTCTCATCACTTATCTAGTGACTATTAGCATAATAAGGACTCAAGACATGAAGCCAAAAATGTTGGGGGAAAAACTTGGAAAAGAAAATGGCTTTGAGTTGGGCATGGTGGTATACACTTGTAACCCCAGCACTTGGAGGGCTGAGGCAAAGGGAATGCGAGTTCGAATTCCAGGCCAGCTTGATCTACCTGCATACCTGCATAATGTATAGTGAAACCCTGCCTCAAAAACATGAAAAACAACCAGAACAACAATACACCCGAAAACCCTACCAAAAAAAAAAACATTGTAAAAAATATTTTGTACAATTGGACAAAATGTACAACTCACAAAAAAATATAAGTATTATCTATCAAGATTTCTTTCTTTTTTTCTTTTGGCCAGGCGAGGTGGCACGTGTCTTTAGTCCTAGCACTTGGGAGGGAGAGGTAGGCGGATCTCTGAGTTCAAGGCCAGCCTGGTCTATATATTGAGTTCCAAGCCAGCTGGGGCTATAGGGAGACCCTGTCTCAAAAAGAACCCTCCCCCAAATTTATTTCTTTTAAAAGAACTTTTATGTACATGAATGCATTGCCTGCATGTGTGTAAGTGCAACTGTGTCATGCAATGCTCTTGGAGATCGGAAGGCAGTGTTGGATCTCCTGGAACTAGAGTTATGGAAGACTGTTAGCTGCCATGTGGGTTGTTGGGAATTGAACCCAGGTCCTCTGCAAGAGCAGTCAGTGCTTTAACCTCTGAGCCATTTCTCCAACTCTTCAAGATTAATTTCCTAGATATGCCTGTACACATGCAAAATGACATAATAAACAAGGCTATTCACTGCAGTACTGTTTCTACTAACAATCCAATAGTCCATCTGTAGGGAACTAGTTAACTGAACTGCAGTACATTCTCACCAGCTTCTGTAATGGAAAAGAAGCTCGCTATGTATTGACATGGAACCACCCAGGATACACTGTTATTGTTCATATTTAAAAACTGTGGTGCATAAAAGCAAACATGCTACCTTGTACACAATGGAATAAAATACATGCACGTGGAGAAGATGAAAGGATAGACAAGAAATTTTTTAAAAATATTTTATTTTTATGTGTAGGAGTGTATTGCGTGCATGTATGTGAATGCACCTGTGTCGTGCAATACCATGGAGGTGAGAAGACGGCTTGGGATTCCCCCAGAACTGGAGTTAAGGACAGTTCGTAGCCGCCATGTGGATGCTAGGAATTGAACCTGGGTCCTCTGCAAGAGCAGCCAATGCTCTTACCATTTTTTTTTTAAATGGTAACCTTTGCAGGTAATTAGATGAAGACAGAGACGGTTGAATACCTATTTAAATAACCAGAAATTCTTCCTAAATTATAGATGTCTAGTAGTAAGAAGAAATTAATGTTAAGCCTTGCAAAAATATATTCTGTCAAACAAATCCTGCATGATGCATTAACTGAACTACTCAATATCCTACTATGAATACCACTTTAAGGTTTGAGTTTGTAAAGCAAATAATGAATGACCTGTATTGTTCATACATTCAGCTGCTTAAAGTTGATTGCAGCACACAAAGAATACAATATTAAAGGACCATTCAAAATTAGATTTTGTTTGTAATTAAAGGTTAAATCTGTATGTATTAGTCAAGAGATGCAGACAGACTTCACAGGAAGGGATTATTTATTCTTAGAAACTCGTAAAATTTCATTTACTGCCTAGGTACCTCCAGGGAAGGGGGGGCTTCAACAATTTTTGTGGTTTTAAAATTTCGTAACATTTATTTGTAAGGATTAGCCTACCCCAATAAAATACAATCTTTAGCAATTATTCAAAAAGACCAAAACAAAACAAGAATGTTCCTCAAAGCCATAGACCTTATAGACAGTTAAAAATGTTTGCTAAGGGAATATATAATTAAAGATGGGCTGGCTTTTGCTTACTCAACTCTGCCAAATTACAAATATGTATTTGTTTCTCTAGTTTTTAAAGATTATTTGTGTATGTATGTGAACTTGTGTGAGTTTATGAGCATCATGAGCTTCAGGTGCCTCAGGAAGTCAGAAGAGTTGGATCCCCTGGAACTAGAGTTACCAGCAGCTGTGAGCAGCCATGTGGGTGCTAGGAACTGAACCTCCAACCTTTGCAAGAGTGGTAAGTGCTCTTGACTGTGGAGTCATCTCTCCAGCCCTCATACTCTAGGTATTTTTAAAAATTGTTTAGTTTTTTGCTCTCTCTCTGTGTGTGTGTGTGTGTGTGTGTGTGTGTAGGCAGGCTCTAAATAGCCATGGCTGGTCTTGAACTCCTAGACATCTGCCTACCTCTGTTTAGTTTTTTGCTGTGTGTGTGCGCGCGCTGTATTTAGGCTCTAAATAGCCATGGCTGGTCTTGAACTCCTCGACATCTGCCTACCTCTGCCTCCTGAGTGCTGGGATTAAAGGAGTGGGCCTCTTCGCCATACACATACTCTAGTTTTCAAATATAGTATGAGCACATTATTATGACGTCTAAAAAGGAGAGAAAAACCAGTATCAGACTCTGTGCTTTATGTCTTAAAAATTGGATCTAGGTTGTAAGAGTAATAATATGCTTTACAGTATTTTTATAGTTCATGAGGGGGAATAATTATGTTCTTTCAAATTTAAACTCTGCATCAAAGATATTTATCTGGTGAACAGGAGACATAAAGAAAAACAAGACTGTTCATTTTATGATGCAAGTGTTCCATTAACATGAGACAACCCAGTCACCGTCCATTTCCTGAAAAGGCCACGAAAATAATTTGGCTTTATCAAAGTTAGATTGATTAACAGGAAAAAGGCTTATAGCTTCCAGAAGAGGACTAATACAACAGACACCATTTATGTTCTGAAGAGTCATGAACTTAAAACAAAAGGCAGCATGTAACGTGCTTATATTTAGGATCTCCATACCGGCCTGTTGTCTGCGATCCAGCACTTGCAGTAATCACAGAATTTTTTTGGTTGTGACTTCCAGTAGTCGGCCCTGAAACAAGGAAAATAACAGTTTATCCGAAAATTGGAAAAGAGAACTTTGTATACTTCTTTAAAGTTCAGAATATAAGCGTTGTTTACCGTCTTTTTTTTTTTTTTTTTTTTTTGGTGTTTTTTGAGTCAGTATCTCCCTGTAGCCCCAGCTGTCCTGGAACTCGCAATGTAGACCAGGCTGGCCTTGAACTCACAGAGATCCGCCTGCCACTACCTCCCAAGTGCTTGTTTACAGTATTTCTTAACAAAGCTCCGTTTTATTACTTATGTGGCCAAAGCCGTCCATCTAAGTTCTACTGAGTGGAACCTACTTTTCAAACGGAAATAACGCCCCCGCCCCCCACTGCCTTAGGTATGAAGGAACCACGAAGGTCTCGAGGCAAAGTTTCTTTCACGTCCCCTTCTTTGCGAGGACTGTCACGGCGGCCTGCGGAAACTCGGTTTGCCTTAAATGAAGCAGTTTCCACCTACAGGAAAGGCAGGGACTAGTCTGGGGATCAGCGAAAACCATCAGTTCTGGAGCCGACCTGGCGAATGGGCAGGCGGGCAGGGGCAGCGGAGGGGAGCCCATCCGAGGGAAGGCCGCAGCTTCAGCGGCCCCGGGCACCCGCTCCCGGGACGCGCCCGGCGAACCAGCCCGGGCGATCCGCCCCTGGCCCCCAGGGAGACAGGAGCGCGGCCGCCACGCCCCCGGCCGAAGGGCAAGAGAAGGTGGGGCCAGAAGGGCCGCCCGCAGTTCATGCGGCTGGCCTAGACCCCGAGCCTGACTCACATGACTGCGCCTGGCGCTCCACGCGACACCCAGGATCCGAGTCCCTCGCGCTCACAGGCGGCGAGAACCAGGCCCGGCCTGCAGCGAAGCCACTCCGGACTGCTTTCCGTGACCTGCGTTCCGCGGTCCTGAAGTACGGGTGCCCCGACCGCCCAATCCGCGTTCGTCTTCCCCTGCGCTTCCCCTCCCCCTGCCGGGGCGGTCCTCGCGGCTCCGGGAGAGGTGGGGTCGGTATAAAGGAGTTGAGGTCACCCCGTAGGGACGAAAGCGCGACGGGAGCGGAGCTGCAAGACCGAACTCTCAAGCCCCGGCTCCATCCCGCCCGCGTCCTGAACCTCCTCTCTCCTTTCTAGGCTCGCTGGCTCTTGGCCCAGGAATCGCGCGCCGCCTGCGCCTCGAACGCAAACAGCTGTTCCCAGAGACGTCGCCGCCCTCAGCCTTGCTAACTAGTCCATTCGCACTTTGACCAGCGGAGCCACCCCGACTTGGGGGTTGGTGGCAGTTGGCGGAGTTTTTGAAAAAAGAAAGGTGAAGCTGGTAGTTTTGGGACTCCCACGAGGCGCGGGGCTTTGCCTTAGAACTTTCCAGTGCCGCTTCGGCTCCGCCCCCCCTCCCCGCCCCGTCCGCCCGCGTGCCCCGCGGTGCTCGTTCCCGCGTGGGACCTTGGTAGTAGGGGGTGGCTGCGGCTCCAGCGGCGCACTGGCAGCAGTGGGAACGGCATAGCTGAGGCGGCGGTGCATACGCTTGTCAGGTGGGTAACGGCAGCATGTTTTTGCAGTGTTTCCCATATGGTCTAGCGGTTAGGATTCCTGGTTTTCACCCAGGCGGCCCGGGTTCGACTCCCGGTATGGGAACGGTAATTACTTTTTGAAAAATCGAGTTTGGAGAAGTTAATTTTGTTTTCAAGTGACACTGGCTAACTTCTTTCTGCGTCTGCGCGTGAATTTGTGGAGAAACCGTAGTGGATCGGTGCACTCGGGCGGAGTTTCACTGTCCCAGTGACTGCTCCCCGCCCTGCGGCCCGTAGTTTTCCAGGCGCTTGGGAGATGATGATTAACTCCGGCCTCGCCTTATCTCCTCCCCGGGCCCCCTCGGGCCCACACCCTTCTCCGCCGCCCCCTCCGACTCAGCAGGCCGGGCGTGTCTGTCCCTGCCCCGCGCTGCCGTCACTGTCAGTGTTTCCAGACCCCCGATGTCGCCGCCGCTGGCTGTCTCCGGCCCCCAGGTCTGGGCTCGCCGCAGCGTGCGCTGGAGCACGCCAAGAGGTCCGTCTGTCGGCGGGACAAGACCCCGGGGCGCTGCTGCTCTCAGAAGCACCCCAGTCTCGGGACCAGGCCTTTCCAGAAAGTCTTATTTTCCTTTTAACCCCCCCCCCCCTTAAAACACATATTAGCTGCGGAGAAGAAAAATACCACTGTGCTGAGATGTCTTTAAAGAACAAAATTCATTTTCAGGACGCTGATGTTTTGAGCGCTACTGATTAAAAAAAAAAAAAAAAAAATCCTGCGGTGGAGGTGGAGCTTGGAAGACAGAAAATAAGCCAAGAGACTGGGGAGGGGATGTTATAACAAAGTTGCACTGTGTTTTTAAATATAGAAGCCCTGTGTTTATTACAAAGAAGGGGCAGCTGTGTCAGCAGCGTGTGAGCTGGAAGTGAAACGAAACAAAAGCGTTATCTTAAAATGCAAGTTGAAATGAGAAAATTGGGGCAGCTATAATGTTTAGTCCAATGGACCTCAGGAACAAATAAAGATGGAAAAAGTGAGTCTCGTGGATAGGTTTCTAGTCAGAGCCATTGTTAAGCAGACGTTTTAGTTGTGTGTTCCCAAACTATTTTATAGCTTTAATTGCAGTTAGGTTTGGAAATAACTGTTAATGTCATCTGTGTGATTAAGGATTAGCTTTACCTTGTAAAAAGTAAATACGTAAAAATCCTCTTAAATATCTTAAATCTTCACCAAGTTAAATGCCTGAGTGTGTGCTCATGCTAGGCGCCCCCAGATGCTTTTGCAGTTCCTGGTGTCCAGGTGCTTGGTGGCTAGTGCTGAACAGAATCACATTTTGGCTAATGGAAGTTTCTCATTTAAAAAGTTTTGTGTGTTAAGGTCCAGTTGCTGACTGACATGGTGGCACATGTCTTTAATCCCAGCACTCCGGAGGCAGAGGCAGGAGGATCTCCGTACCAGGCCAGCCTGATCTGCATAGTGAGTTCCAGGCCTGCTGGGACTGCAGGGAGACCCTGTTTCAAAAGACCAAAAAAAAAAAAAAAAAAGATACAGTGTCTTTAGGGGCTTGAGAGATGGCTCAGTGCTTAAGGCACTGGCTGTTCTTACAGAACACCCAGGTAGAGTTCCCAACATCCACATGGCAGCTAATAGCAGCCCTTGACTCCAGTTCCAGGGGATCCAACACCCTCTTCTGGCCTCTGTGGGCATTGCACGAAATGAGTACACTTACCATGCATGCAGGCAAACAAAATAAAAAAAAATAAATGAATAAATAAAAATAAACAGTTGTTATTGTGGCTGGAGAGATGGCTCAGCTGTTAAGAGCACTTACTGTTCTTGCAGAGGACCCACATGGCCACCAGCAACTGTCTGAGACTCAAGTACTGCATGCTCATCATGCAGTTAAGATACATGCAAGCAAAACACTCATACCCATTAGAAAACAAACAAAACAAGACTACTAAAGAATTAGTTCCATGTTTAGAAGAAAAGGCACCTACCTGTGCCTTGTTTCCAGAGTGGGTCTAAATTTTTTTTTTTGTCTTTTTTTGACAGCCTCTCCTTGTAGCCCCAGCTGGCCTGTAACTCGGTATGTAGACAGGGCTGACCTCAAAATTACAAAGACCTGCCTGCCTCTGCCTCCCAAGTGCTGGGATTAAAGGTAGTGCTTTACCACACCTAGCTGGGTCTAAGTTTTGTGAGGATTTAATGTATTGTAGCCTATGGTGCTAGAGTGGGTGGGTCTTAACTTTGAAGTAAGCAGTATGTGATTACAGCTCATTATACTATATATTTGGGGTGAGTTGAGGGGAGCAGTTGGGGGGCAGTATTCCTGTCCAAGACTCCGATGTCTTCATGCCAGGTGGAATATAGTCAGGCAGCATTAGAAATGTGGAATTGCTCCTAGTGCTCAGAGATGAGGAGCCAGTTCTATCAGGAAGGGCAAGTTGGGGCTGTGGTTCACCCTGGACCTTAAAGAACTGGTTGAATTTCTCTGAGTGGGGAATGTGAATTATAACATCTGAGGTACAGGGGAAGTTGCAGCAGGAAGCTAGCAAGAAGTCTGGTTTGGCGGGAGCACAGGGCACCTAGAGGGAGAGCCATGGGAGTCCAAGCTAGGAAGGCAGAAATTTTAAAGTTGATAATGTCGACTAGGTTACAGGTGCTTTTGATCAAGAAGTAACCTTTCATGTCACGAGAGTTTTAAGAACATTTTTGGCTTGCTTGCGTTCTCTCTCTCTCTCTCTCTCTCTCTCTCTCTCTCTCTCTCTCGATCTTATTACTGTTGTTCTGAGGCTGGATCTTACTGTCCTAATCCAATCTAACAGGAGTACACTACCACACCCAGCTTTGTCTCTTTGAAAAGAATGATATGTGACTGTGATATCTGAAAAAAACCTTGTTTAAAAAGATTGAAACAATATAGAAACAGAATATTTTGTACCCATAGGTTTTATATTTTGGGAGTTGAATATTGATTTTTAAATAGTAGAATGGGGAAAGCAATTAATTAGACTATAAGAATGAAATCTAGATTTAGATGTATGTGTATATGTATAATATATATGTATATGTATATTTTTTTGGGGGGGGTGGAGAGGCTCTCATTTGTGTAGCCCTGGCTGGTCTGGAACTCGATGTATAGACCAGGGTAGCCTTGAATTTACAGAGATCTGCCTGCCTTGACCTCTGCTCTCCATACTGGGATTATAGACCTGTATTACCACACCTGTCAGTTTGCAGGTATATTCTTATTTGCTTGGCTGTTTAAAAAAAGCTATGACCTTGATATTCCAAAACAGCTTCAAAATGTTAGCAGGGCTTGCTCGATAAATAAATGAGGACTCTTGTGCCTTTTAACCAAAACACGACAGTCGTGTTTGAGGTGTTCTGTCTTAGGCTACTGGATAGTGATACTAATTTGGATGTGCTTATTAAGACCTTCCCTGAGTCCCTAAGGCCCAGTGTCCCATGGCCTCTTCTTACCCCCCAGCTTCATCTGTCAGTTCTGCCTGGTCACTAAACTCCAGCTACATTGGTTCTTTTTGATTTTTGAATATACTAAACTTATTCTTGTCTCAGAGTTTTATTACTTGTTATTTCTTCTGCCTGGAAGATTCCCTTTCCAAGTCTCCACATTTAAGGTCCACCTTACTTTCTCAGGGCGGTCTTTTTTCTGATTACCCTGGCTAGAGTCTCTCTTCTTGAGTTACTTTTTGGCCTCCCTCCCTCCCTCCCTCCCTCCCTTCTTTTTCTGCAGTTAACCTGCCTATTTCTGTTTATTTTCTCTTATTCCACCAGCATAGTAGTTCCATGAAGGTGCAAATATTGTATAGTGAGGTCATTCTTGCTGAGTTCATACCATAGAAAATTGCCCCCCCCCACTGTTGTCAGAAATGTAGAATGGTACAGTTACATTGGAAAGGCTTAGCATTTTCTTAAGTATTAAAGATAGAATTACTATGTGATCCATCATTTCCATTCCTAGGTATATATGAGAAAGAAATGTAAACGTGTTCAAGTCAAAACTTGCACACAGATGTTTGTGGAAGTGTTATTCATGAACAAAAAGGGGAAATAACCCAAGTGTCCATCAAATGTTGAATGTGTATCTTTGTACTGAAATGTTATCTGCCAATAAAAGGGCATGAGGGAGTAATACGTACCACAATATATTATGTTACGTGAAAGAAAATAGGTATCAAAGACCACATTTTCTTCCATATATGTGAAGTGTCCACAGTGGGCACATTAAACTGAAATGCCCTCAAATCAGATTTTAGTGATGGTTATGGAAATAGACCAAAAAGTATGGCATTGTATGCTTCATACTTCATGATGTGTTATACGTCAGCAAAACTGTTCAGAAGGATTGAAACTGAAAAGCATGTAGAATACTTTAGCTATTACATTTATCCTTTAGATATTACATAGTTTAAAATAATAATGAAATAATCGCTGAAGCTAGAACTAGTAGATTATTGTAATAATGTAGTGAATGCTCTGTAAGTAATTGATGAAAGTGGTTAGACAAATGTGTAGATAATTGTATTACACTTCATAATATGAGAAATGCTCAGAGGGGATGAAACCAAGGGGTCCAATTTAAAGGTCTTCAGAATTCACCTCCGGGTCTGTATGAGGGGAATGGGAAAGGCCCTCTTGTAGGAGGCGGCCTTTGAGAAGGGCTTTGGAGATTATTAGTCTTTTGTTGGTTGAGTTGGGGGCAGGGGACTAGGCATTTGGAGGAAGCAGACAGGAGCAGAAGTGCACTAACAGTTGCTAGCACATTTTGGCTGC